GAGAGAGATGCACTGCACTCTCTAACGGCCCCTCCAACAGTCTGAGGGACAGTTGAACTGGCCCCTGTTTAAAAAGTTTGAGGACCCCTGGCATAGACGGTTCATTCACATTAACAAGAGAGAAAGTAGTAGGTATGCATAAACTACATGCAGGAGTACATAGATTAGGTGGTGGGAGCTTGTGGAAATTCTCTGTCTAATAGTTCAGTTTTTCAGCAACATAGGAAGCAGCATATCAGCTGAGACTGACAATGAGGGAGGAGATATGGTAAGTGTGGATAGAAGGATGCAGGTATCAGATTTGTCAGTAGGAGCTAGGAGAGTAAATAGGGAAAATATAATAGATGCCAGGCAACTTAGGCCATTTGGGTTTATGAATAAGAATATAAACATTTAGGTGTTCTCGGCTTTACATGTGTGAGAAAAATCTGGCTTATTAACCTGTTACATGTTATCACATGATAACAGGAACTTTTGGAATAGAGGAGTTCTTGTTCTCTGATCTACAAAAACTAGCATTTTTGTTTTGTTTTGTTTTGTTTTTTGCTGTTACTATATAGCTCATAATCGATTCAGCTAGGGGTGATTTTGCCTGCCAACAGGGACACTTAGCAAACTCTGGAGAATCCTATTGGTGTCACAGCTTTTTGGGGTTCTGGCATCTTAGTGGGTGGGAGCGTGAGGATGCTGACTAAACATCCTACGATGCACAGGACGGATCTCCAGTTGGCTCAACAAGTCAATTTTTAATGCGGGAGGTTGAGAAAACTGCATATTATGGCTTCAGAGTTGCTGCAATTGCACTTTTTTTGTTTGCTCAAACTGGTTTTTTTTTTTTTTGGAGACAGAGTTCCACTTTGTCCACAGTAGAGTGCAGTGCTGTGGGTCAGCCTAAGCTTCACAGCAACCTCAAACTCCTGAGCTCAAGCAATCTCCTGCATCAGCCTCCCAATAGCTGGACTACAGGCATGCGCAACCATGCCGCTTTTTCCTATATAATATAATTAGTTGCCAATTAATTTCTTTTTAAATTTATAGTAGACACGGGGTCTCATCTTTCCTCAGGCTGGTTTCGATCCTGACCTCGAGCAATCCGCCTGCCTCGGCCTCCTAAGAGTGCTAGATTACAGCGTGAGCCATACGCGCCGGCCTAAACTTGTTTTTTGTTTGATTTGTCCTTTACTTTCACAAAGTAAAATTATATTGAGTTATGAGAATATACATATCACTTCGGCCCGTTGTTCTAGTTTTGAATTGAGGCAATGAGGGGAGGATATTCTTTCAAATGTAGGATTCACATAATGTTCTTAGAAGTAATTTGAAACCAAAGAACTTTTTACCTTGAATGAGTGTATAGCATGATATCTCAAATTAGCCTGAGGCTTCAGCATTATCTTCACTTGGGATTTGGATATACTTGTACTAATTTCAAAATGACTTGGAGTAATAAATAGGCATTACTTCCTTTTTTAAGTTCGTGACTTTGAAAGTCCTCAGGTACTCATGTCTTATCTGATTAACTCTTTAATGCATAATTTGGCTTATAATGTACTCTTCATTTTCTGTGACTGTGGGTGTAGAATTTAAAAATGATATTACTAACTTACCCTCTTCAAGTATTGGTAGCTAGAAAGCAGCTGTAATGAAGAGTAAGGGAATGTGGATGGTTTGTTCCAGTATACTCCTTGTGCGTGAGCTCGTGACAAGTTTCACAGTGTTTGGGCACCTGGTGTGATATTATGTGTAAGGCACATCTGGAGCCCTTGGTTCAAACCTAGCCTTCTTTTGCCCAATTTACTCAGAAATATGGGTGTAATGCTAAAGAATTGAGTTCCTAGTGTGAAAAGCTGTTCTACAGTTCAGTAATGGATATTTGAATTTTTAATGATTAAAAGATAATCAGAGTGCCTTTTAAGGCTGCCTTTCAGTGCTTTAAAATTTTTTAAAAAATTCTTTTCATTCTTATATTGAATGCCGACCAGTAAACTAGACGCTATAGGCAGACTTGTTGGAGATTTTTGATTGGAAAACATCTTTACAGAGGATCTAGCAATAATGCATGCCTTCATTTGTAATTCACCAACTTCCTTTTGTAGGGTTTGTTTTCTCTGTGACTCTTCACAGCCTTTCTCGTCAAATGAAAGTCTTCATAAAGCCTCAGTTTTGAATTAGTTGTATATTCTCTTTACCTTGATGGTGTTCATTTTAATATGCTTAATTCAATGTTATTCCAACAGTTGGCAGGAGAGGGCACGTAGGCACTTTTGATTTATTTTATTTTATTTTATTTTATTTTTGTGACAAGGTCTTAACTCTGTTTCCCTGGGCTAGAGTGCAGTAGCTTCATCATAGCTCACTGCAACCTCAAATTCCTGGAATCAATGGATCCTCCTGCCTCAGCCTCCCAAGTAGCAGGGTACAGGTGCATGCCACCACACCCAGCGTAATATTTCTAATATTCAACATCAGACCTCTAGAGATGAGGTCCTGATGTCGCTGAAGCTGGTCTTTGAGCTCCTGATCTCAAGCGATTGTCCTGCCTTGGCCTCCCAAAGTGCTAGGATTAGCACTTGAACCTGTACTGGCCTAATTAGTTTTTTTCTTAGTTTCATTATGAATTCATGGTTTTAAAGATATTTGATGTATTCAACCCACCACAGTTATTATCTCCTTATGAATGCTTGCATTGTCTATGTTTGGCCTGTGGGGGACATGTACAAGATTGGTTCCTGAGTCCCTCTGACATGACCCTGGTAATCTTTGATAGCTTCCTTGCTTTCTGGTATGACAAGATACGTTTAGGCCTCTCTTGTACATTTCTGTTTGAGATCTGGCAATCTGCCATTTCTTGCAGAAGTTTTGGTTCTTTTCAGCAGGAAAATGGTATTTCCGAGACCATAATTGGGTACTAGGTTGCTAATTGTTCCCTGGATTGGTCATTGTAGGTACTCTTCAGTGAGTACTTACAGATTTTGACTGAACCTCTTCCCTTCTTATATATGTGTCTGCTTGCTCCCACACAAGAATCCCAGTTTTAATGACACTGAAAAAAAGATAGAATTAAATATTACAGAATTTATCATTTGTTTATCTCAACAGAGTTATTAAGCCAGAGAATGACATGAAAGCTCTGTATTACGGAAGGGTAACTCATTTAATATCAGGCGAGAAAGGTGAATTAGAACTGAACAATTCGATGGAAGAGAAATCATCTAGGGGCTATTGCTGGAGTTCTGAAGAGAAGAACTGGGTCCTGAACTAGGATGGTGGCAATTGGAATGGAGAAGAGGTAAAGATTAGAGAACTATATCAAGGGAAGTATCTATAGAGTTGGTGACTGGCTCTGGCAGGATGACAATATGACTGGGAAGTTGACGATAAATTCTAGGACACCATTCAAGAATGGTTATTTAGTGATATAGAGAGAGCAGATGCTGGGGAAAAAATGGGTGTGGGGGGGGGGGGGGGCAGAGGCAGAATCAGTGGTTGTATATCATCAAAGTGGTTGGAGCGGGAGAGAGGTCAGGAATAGGTGAAATTAAGGTCTTCTTCATCAAGACTCAGCCCATAAGTTGGGCATTGAAAGACATCCACTCTAGCTCCAAGTACCTTTTCAGTATTTTCTAATACCTAACAGATTCAGTCAGACCTCTCCCTTCCCAACTCTGCCTCTGCATAGGTGATACACGCTTTCGCCACATGGTGGGGGTTTTATATCCATCTTCTCGAACAATTAGGATCAAGGTTAAACAATCTTGTTCAAGGTTCACCTGAAGGCACCTCTGAAATCCTGTACTATCTGTTTCCTGTATTTTAGTTATATGTGGTTTTGTATTGTCCTCTAATTGTTTTGTGTATTTGTCTTACTTACTCAGCAAAGTTGAGGAATTCTATAGGTCAAGTCCGAGATCCATTATGTCTTCTTTATTTTATTTTTAAACAAGAGTTTCACTATGTTACATGGGCTAGAGTGCTGTGGCATCAGCTTAGCTCATAGCAACCTCAAACTCCTGGGCTCAAGTGATCTTTCTGCCTCGGCCTCCCTAGTAGCTGGGACTACATGCCTGGCTAATTTTTTTTATATTTTAGTTGGCCAGTTTTCTTTCTATTTTTAGTAGAGACGGGGGTCTCACTCTTGCTCAGGGTGGTTTCGAACTCCTGACCTTGAGTGATCCACCCACCTCGGCCTCCCAGAGTGCTAGGATTACAGGCGTGAGCCACTGTGCCCAGCCCATATTTCTTCTTTAAATCTTTCTTAAGCTGATTTATAGAAGAGTCAGCATTTGTTGGTAGTCAGGGTGAAGAGATCGTAGGTTATCTCTGTTTACTGTTAGACATGTGCACTATTAACTTTTGTTCTTTTTAGCCTCCATAAACTAGTTCTTTATGGGTTTTATGTAAAATCAATTTCTTATTTTTATTTTTTAGAGACAGTCTTGCTCTGTTGCCCAGTCTCGTCTGGGTCCAGTGATCCTCCAGCTTTCCCTCCTAAGTTGCTGGGATTATAGAGACTGCCCAGCAAAGCAAGTCTCTATTAGTGAATACTTCCAGAATTATGTTCCACTTTTGATCCTTAAATTGTTCATAAAATGGAGCTGATGTGGTTCGAAGAATGTAAACTCTGCAAAAAGGTTCTAAGTGTCTATTATTTTTATAGGTTTCTTTCATCTCACAGTGTATTACCCAATCATATATCCATACAAGTGGCTTCTCTTGACATTTCTCGAAGATGGGAAAGAAATAAAATTGTTTATCCTCCACAACTGCTGGGAACCTCGGAAGACCTGCAGTAAGTATGGGGCAGAACTAATCTTTTTAATTTGGAGAAAGTGGATCTTACTCTTATGTGGTTAGCAACAACTTATTATCCATGTTAAAAGAATAACAATTATACAACATTTCCATGAGCTCTTTCATTGACACAGAAATGTACTGATTTATCTCTTTGTAGTTTGAAGAGATTGTTTATTGCTTCACTCATTTGTTGCCTTTACTTGACCTCCTGGTTAAGGCCTTACTCTAAAACTAAGCTAATAGTTTGAGCACTGATTTTTGACTCCAAAGGTTGATAATGATTCTTTTTTTTTTTTTTGAACAGAGTCTCACTAGAGTGAGTGCCGTGGCGTCAGCCTAGCTCACAGCAACCTCAAACTCTGGCTCAAGCAATCCTCCTGCCTCAGCCTCCAAGTAGCTGGGACTACAGCATTCGCCATCATGTCCGGCTAATTTTGTATATAATTAGTTGGCCAATTAATTTCTTTCTATTTATAGTAGAGACGGTCTCGCTCTTGCTCAGGCTGGTTTCGAACTCCTGACCTCGAGCGATCCACCACCTCGCCTCCAGAGGAGCCAGGATTACAGCGTGAGCACCCGCAAGAATTCATTATCAAGCCTTTTGGAGTCAAAAATCAGTGTCTCAAACTATTAGCTTAGTTTTAGAGTTAAGGCCCTTAACCAGGAGGTCAAGTAAAGGCAAACAAATGAGTGAAGCAATAAACAATCTCTTCAAACTATCAAAGAGATAAATCCAGTACATTTTCTGTGTCAATGAAAGACTCATGGAAATTGTTGTATAATTGTTATTCTTTTAACATGGAATAATAAGTTGTTGCTAACCACATAAGAGTAAGACCACTTTCTCAAAATTAAAAGATTAGTTCTGCCCCCATACTTACTGCAGGTCTCCGAGGTTCTCCAGGCAGTTGTGGAGGATAAACAATTTTATTTTTCTTCTCCCATCTTCGAGAAATGTCAAGAGAAGCACTTGTATGGATATATGATTGGGGTAATACACTGTGAGATGAAAGAAACCTATAAAATAATAGACACTTAGAACCTTTTTGCAGAGTTTACATATCTTCTGAACCACATCAGCTCCATTTTTATGGAACAATTTAAGGATCAAAAGTGGAAACATAATTCTGGAAGTATTCACTAATAGAGACTGCTTTGCTGGGCAGTCTCTATAATCCCAGCAACTTAGGAGGCTAAAGCTGGAGGATCACTGGAGCCCAGACGAGACTGGGCAACAGAGCAAGACCCTGTCTCTAAAAAATAAAAATAAGAGAAATTGATTTTACATAAAACCCCATAAAGAACTAGTTTATTGGAGGCTAAAAAGAACAAAAGTTAATAGTGCACATGTCTAACAGTAAACAGAGAGTAACCTACGATCTCTCACCCTGACTAGCCAACAAATGCTGACTCTTCTATAAATCAGCTTAAGAAAGATTTAAAGAAGAAATATGGGCTGGGCACAGTGGCTCACGCCTGTAATCCTAGCACTCTGGGAGGCCGAGGCGGGTGGATCACTCAAGGTCAGGAGTATCGAAACCACCCTGACAAGAGTGAGACCCCGTCTCTACTAAAAATAGAAAGAAAACTGGCCAACTAAAATATAAAAAAAATTAGCCAGGCATGTAGTCCCAGCTACTAGGGAGGCCGAGGCAGAAAGATCACTTGAGCCCAGGAGTTTGAGGTTGCTATGAGCTAAGCTGATGCCACAGCACTCTAGCCCATGTAACATAGTGAAACTCTGTTTCAAAAATAAAATAAAGAAGACATAATGGATCTCGGACTTGACCTATAGAATTCCTCAACTTTGCTGAGTAAGTAAGACAAATACACAAAACAATTAGAGGACAATACAAAACCACATAATAACTAAAATACAGAAACAGATAGACAGGATTCAGAGGTGCCTTCAGGTGAACCTTGAACAAGATTGTTTAACCTTGATCCTAATTGTTCGAGAAGATGGATATAAAACCCACCATGGGCGAAGCGTGTATCAACCTATGCAGAGGCAGAGTGGAAGGAGAGTCTGACGAATCGTTAGGTATTAGAAAATACTGAAAAGGTACTTGGAGCTAGAGTGGATGTCTTTCAATGCCCAACTTATGGGCTGAGTCTTGATGAAGAAGACCTTAATTTCACTATTCCTTGACCTCCTCTCCCGCTCCAACCACTTTGATGATATACAACCACTGATTCTGCCTCTGCCATTTTCCCCAGCATCTGCTGCTCCTCTATATCACTAAATAAAACCATTCTTGAATGGTGTCCTAGAATTTATCTTCAACTTCCCAGTCATATTGTCATCCTGCCAGAGCCAGTCACCAACTCTTATAGATACTTCCCTTGATATAGTTCTCTAATGCTTTACCTCTTCTCCATTCCAATTGCCACCATCCTAGTTCAGGACCAGTTCTTCTCTTTCAGAACTCCAGCAATAGCCCCAGATTGATTTCTCTTCCATCGAATTGTTCAGTTCTAATTCACCTTTCTCTGCCTGATATTAAATGAGTTACCCTTCCGTAATACAGAGCTTTTCATGTCATTCTCTGGCTTAATAACCTCTGTTGAGATAAAGCAAATGAGTAATTCTGTAATATTCTAATTCTTTTTTTTCAGTGTCATTAAAAACTGGGATTCTTGGTGTGGGAGCAAGCAGACACATATATAAGAAGGGAAGAGGTTCAGTCAAAATCCTGTAAGTACTCACTGAAGAGTACCTACAATGACCAATCCAGGAGCAATTAGCAAACCTAGTACCCAGATTATGGTCTCGAAATACCATTTTCCTGCTGAAAAGAACCAAAACTTCTGCAAGAAATGGCAGATTGCAGATCTCAAACAGAAATGTACAAGAGGAGCCTAGAATATCTTGTCATACCAGAAAGCAAGGAAGCTATCAAAGATTACCAGGGTCGTGTCAGAGGGACTCAGGAACCAACTTGTACATGCCCCCACAGGCCAAACATGAGACAATGCAAGCATTCATAAGGAGATAATAACTGTGGTGGGTTGAAATACATCAAATATCTTTAAAACCATGAATTCATAATGAAACTAAAGAAAAAAACTAATTAGGCCAGGTACAGAGGTTCAAGCCTGTAATCCTAGCACTTTGGGAGGCCAAGGCAGGACAATCGCTTGAGATCAGGAGCTCAAGACCAGCTTCAGCGACATCAGGACCTCATCTCTAGAGGTCCTGATGTTGAATATTAGAAATATTAGCTGGGTGTGGTGGCATGCACCTGTAGTCCCTGCTACTTGGGAGGCTGAGGCAGGAGGATCCATTGATTCCAGGAATTTGAGGTTGCAGTGAGCTAGGATGAAGCTACCGCACTCTAGCCCAGGGAAACAGAGTTAAGACCTTGTCACAAAAAAATAAAATAAAATAAAATAAAATAAATCAAAAGTGCCTACGGTGCCCTCTCCTGGCCAACTGTTGGAATAACATTGAATTAAGCATATAAAATGAAACCACCATAAGGTAAAAGAGAATATACAAACTAATTCAAAACTGAGGCTTTTATGAGACTTTTCATTTGAGAAAGGCTGTGAAGAGTCAGCAGAGAAAACAAACCCAACAAAAGGAAGTTGGTGGAATTAACAAATGAAGGCATGCATTATTGCTAAGATCCTCTGTAAAATTGTTTTCCAACAAAAATCTCCAACAAGTCTGCCTATAGCTCTAGTTTACTGTCGGCATTCTAAAGAATGAAAATGAATTTTTAAAAAATTTTAAAGCACTGAAAGGCAGCCTTAAAAGGCACTCTGGATTATCTTTTATCATTTAAAATTCAAATATCATTACTACTGATAACAGCTTTTCACTTACTAGGAAACTCAAATCTCTTTAGCTTCACCATATTTCTGAGTAAATTGGGCAAAAGAAGGCTAGGTTTGAACCAAGGCTCCAGAGTGCCTGTACACATAATATCCACACAGGTGCCCAAAGCACTGTGAAACTGTCAGAGCTCACGCACAAAGAGTATACTGGAACAAACATCCACATTCCCTTACTCTCATTATTCAGCTCTTTCTAGCTACCAATACTTGAAGAGGGTAAGTTTAAATATCATTTTTAAAATTCTACCCACAGTCATCAGAAAATGAAGAGTAGCATATATAAGCCAAATTATAGCATTAAGAGTTAATTCAGATAAGACATGAGTACCTGAGGACTTTCTAAAGTCACAACTTAAAAAAGAGAAGTAATGCCTATTTATTACTCAAAGTTCATTTTGAAATTTAGTACAAAGTATATCCAAATCCCAAGTGAAGATAATGCTAGCCTCAGGCTAATCTTGAGAATATCATGCTATTACACTCATCAAGGTAAAAAGTTCTTTGTTTCAAAGTTACTTCTAAGAACATTATGTGAATCCTACATTTGAGACTGAATATCCTCCCTCTTGCCTCAATTAAAATCTAAAACAAAGAGGCCGAAGTGATATGTATATTCTCATAACTCAATATAATTTTACTTTGTGAAAGTAAAGGACAAATCAAACAAAAAAACAAGTTTAGGCCGGGCGCAGTGGCTCACGCCTGTAATCCTAGCACTCTAGGAGGCCGAGGCAGGCGGATTGCTCGAGGTCAGGAGTTCGAAACCAGCCTGAGAAAGAGTGAGACCCCGTGTCTACTATAAATTTAAAAAGAAATTAATTGGCCAACTAATATATATAGAAAAAATTAGCCGGGCATGGTGGCGCATGCCTGTAGTCCCAGCTACTTGGGAGGCTGAGGCAGGAGGATTGCTTGAGCTCAGGAGTTTGAGGTTGCTGTGAGCTAGGCTGACGCCACAGCACTCACTCTAGCCTGGGCAACAAAGTGAGACTCTGTCTCCAAAAAAAAAAAAAAAAACCAAGTTTAGCAAACAAAAAAAGTGCAATTGCAGCAACTCTGAACCATAATATGCAGTGTTTCTCAACCTCTGCATTATTGACATTTTGAGCCAACTGGAGATCCGTCCTGTGCATCGTAGGATGTTTAGCAGCATCCCTCACCTCCACCCACTAGATGCCAGAAGTCCCCAAAAAGCTGTGACAACCAAAAATGTCTCCAGAGTTTGCTAAGTGTCCCTTGGCAGGCAAAATCACCCCTAGCTGAAAGTCATTATGAGCTATAGTAACAGCAAAAAACAAAACAAAACAAAACAAAAAGTGCTAGTTTTTGTAGATCAGAGAACAAAACCTCTCTATTCCAAAACGTTCCTGTTATCATGTGATAACATGTAAATGGTTAATAAGCCAGATTTTTCTCAACATGTAAGCCAGAGAACACCTAAATTTTATATTCTTATTCATAAATCCCAAATGGGCCCTTAAGGTTGCCTGGCAATCCTATTATATTTCCCTATTTACTCTCCTAGCTCCTACTGACAAATCTGATACCTCATCTTGCTATTCACACTTCCCATATCTCCTCCCTCATTGTCAGTCTCAGCTGATAGCCTTGCTTCCTATTTTGCTGAGAAAACTGAACTATTAGAAGAGAATTTCCACAAGCTCCCACCACCTAATCTATGTACCTACCTGCATGTATGTTTATGCATACCTACTACTTTCTCTCTTGTTAATGTGAATGAACAGTCTATGCCAGGGGTCCTCAAACTTTTTAAACAGGGGGCCAGTTCACTGTCCCTCAGACTGTTGGAGGGCCGTTAGAGAGTGCAGGGCACATTCCACACATGCGCACTGTGGGCCTGGGACGAGTTGGCTGCTAAGCAGGACAGGCAGCGGTGGTAAAAACACCCAGCAGGCCGGATAAATGTCCTCGGTGGGCCGCATGTACGCCTGGTACCCTAGCTATAGCAATCTCATCTCCCGCCTCCTAGGTAACATTCCTTCCTACCTATTTAAGGACACTGCTCCAGCAATTCTTTCTTCCTCCTTTCCATTATGTTTTTACCTTCTATTGGATCACTTCCATCAGCAAACAAACATACAGTACTCTAATATATCTCAGCTTAAAAGAAACAAACCTTCTCTAGGTACCACTACAAAACTCCCTAAATGAGTTGCCTAAATTACCCATCTCCAATTCCAATGCTCCGGTTCACCCTTAACCCTCTGCAATCAGACTTGTGCCTGCATTACTCTACCAAAATTACTTTATCAAGGTCACTGAAGGCATCTGTGTTGCAAGATCCAATGGTTAATTCTCAATCCTCATCCTAAGAGTGACATAAGTATCTCTGGTCACTTGCACTTCCTTGAGACACTTTCTTTACTTGGGTTTCAGGACACTTAGGGTTTTCTTCTCAACTTTCTGCCCACAGTCTCCTCTGTTGTTTCCCCATGTCCCTCCCTGATCTGTAAATGTTGGCTGTCTTAGAATCAATCTTTGGACTCTTCTGCTTTCTATCTACACTCACTCCCATGGTCAACCAGTTTCACATCTTTAAATACTATCATGCACCGATGACTCCCAAATTTACTTCCCTTCCCTGAGCAACAAACTCATATACCCAATTGCCTACTCATATCTCCACCTGCAAGCTTACACATCTCAGACCTAACAATCCCCAAACTGAGCTCCTGATGTTCTCCCCAAAACCTGCTCCTCTGGAAGTCTGCATATCTCAGTAAATGGTAACTCCATCCTTCCAGTTAGGATGGTCTATGAGTTAGACTTCAACCAGACACAAATTCTAATCAAAAGAACTGGCTTGTGAGGGCTTTGAAAGAAAGAAACTATCACATAAGAGACTGTCTAAATGAATATAAGTATCATGGAATTGAAAATGTCCATCTATAAGATCTTGTTTTGTGTATGATTGTTTTAGGGTTTATTCTCAAGCTACAAATAATGGTCAATTTTTCTTTTTTCAAAAATAAATTCAGCATATACTTGATTTCTATTTGAATCCTTTCAATCAAAATATTAAAATAAAAGACCTCTAAATTATACCACCCATATTGATTGTGCATTGTGGTTCCTGGAGACTGCATTCACTTTTAAGAAACATATTCTGAAATGTTTAAGAGTTAAGTACCATAACGTGTGCAACTCACTTTCAAAATGGCTCAGGAAAAAAAAAAGCACATATATTTATTTATAAAGACCATTAAAGCCATGTTAACAACTGGTGGATGCAGCTGAAGGATACTTTAATATCCCTTCAACTTTCCTGTAGGGTTGACATTTTTCCAAATAAATTAAGGGAAATATTATTTCAACCATTAATGCAAGGGCTACTGCTCAACATGCTTTTCAACATACATTACATTGCTAATCATTTTGTATACTCATTGCAAAACAAATATTACAGTATCTCATGTGTCACAAACAGATGCTTATGCTTAGATATATCCCAGTGCAGAGATTCCTAGACTGAAGATTATGAAATTACAAGCAAAGTTGTAAATGTAAGATAAATTTTTCTGAGAAAATGTTTTGTGGCTTTCCTCATACTCTCAAACGAGGTCTGTGACAAATTTGAGAACCATTGTCCTAACAGGTAAGGATAGAAAACCCCTCAGACCACAAGGTAAAATTTAAATCCCTCAGACTACAAGGTAAAATTTAAATCCCTCAGACCACAAGGTAAAATTTAAATAAGAGGGTACAAAAAACAATGTTGTCAAATCTTGGGGGTCATGGCAATCAGGACACTAAAAGTACAGATGAATGAAAACCAGAGATAATTTCTACCCTTTACTTTGGAGAAATCTTTTAAAAGTGACTTGACTAAATAGAAAAGTAGACTAACTTATATTTCAGTTTCTTCTTGCCAACTGTTCTATAAAAGTAAAGCTGACAGATGAGAGACATGCAATCTCATCTAAGAGTGCAGAGTGGCTACTGATTGCTTCCAGCATAAAAATCAGATTCCTTTAAAATAATTTCATGGTGATATCACCCCATCACCTCCACAGTACCAGGCACTATAATAGACATTTTACATATTAGTCTCTTAATTCTCACCACCACTCTCTCTTTGTTGAAATGAGAAAACTAAGCCTCAGAGAAGTTAAGCAAATTGCCCAAGGCCACAACATTTTGTCCCTGGCAAAGACCTGGAACCCAGCTCCTGCAGCCTAGTGTTTATTCTAATATATTACATTGCTATCATCATTTTTCGGCCAAACAGCTGATTCAAGACATTTCCAAATTGGTTTTTCTTGTGGAAAATTTCAACCTATGTACAGCTCAGTCAGTAGTACCTTCACTAGTACACTAGCCCTTCTATTTCTAAACCACCAAAATATACTCTTTCACTCTTTAAATTTAAATTTTAAAAATCACCTGTTCCACAAAGACTCCCTTGATAAATCCCTTTTGGGCCTGTCACTCCATCACTCCCATGTTGACGCAGCACTATCTAAAGCCAGAGAATATTTTGTTTAGATCCTCACGTTGCCATTTATTAACTATATAACCTTCAGTAAGTCACAAAAACTCTCAAATGCCCCCATCGGTAAAATAGGAGACTTGGAATTTGAAGATTGAAAACTGTCAGTCTGCGAACAAATATAGCCTGCAGAAAAGTTGTATTTGGTCAGCATTTTTCTTAACCCAATGCAATGCCTTTAGATGAAGAATGTACTCTACTGACTGCCTGACTACCACAGGCCCTACCACTCTTTCATTTTACATAGACCGCTTCTAGTTCATTCATTTCTAGTCCAGTGCCTCAATGTAATTAAGTTTCCAATCACTGGATCAGATGATCTCTAAAATTTTAGGTAGCTACCATGAACATTGTTTATACTTTTCTACTTAGTTTTCATAGTCATTTCCCCAATACAAAGTCTGGAATGGGGATTCATAAAATTATATAATAATTTCAGAAATGCGAAGACTCTTAGAGCTTATCCAGCAAAATCCAATATTCTTACATCATGACACAGATTAAAAGACTAACCCCAAAATGCTTAAGTTTCTTGTTCTAGCTCCCTAGTACAAGTTAATGCAAGACAATTCAAATCAACAAACATTACCAAAATATTTACTTTGTGTAAGACTCTATGCTGGAACTACAAAAAGGAACAAAAACTGTCTCCAACTCTCCAAGATACACATGCTAGTAAAGGGCACAGACACATATACATGAAGCCATTATGTTACAGAAGACACACATGCTAAAAGGAAAGAAAAATTAGTTTCTTTCTGTTTTAGAGAGATCTGAGAAAACTTCCTGAAAGGGAAAATCTGAGCAGGGGTTTGAATAATAGGCAGGACTGCTGTTATAGACAGGAAGTGCGTGCACTGCAGGAAAAGACAAGAAGCAGGTAAATGCACAGCACATTCAGAAAAAGTAAGTAAATCATACAGCTAGGTGTGGAGTAATAGAAGATAATCTGAGAAAACAAAGTGTAGACGAATCCTAAGAACAAGTGCTCCTTATTTTCTTCATTAACCCACCTCTTCATCCCCTTAGGACCCAAAAACCTAGGACAGGGCTAAATATAACAGGAATTCAATAATAATTCATGCTAATAGAAACATTAATGGCAGCTAGGATTTAGAGTCAAATTATGACATGACATACATGTACTAAACATTTCATATGTGTTATCTCACTTAAACTTCACTAAAATAAAAATCTATGATAGATACTAATACTACTTTTCTATCACAAAAGAGATAACTGAAACTTATAAAGAATAACTTTTACAAAATCACAGTTAAAAAATGGATTCACACCCAACTTATCTATCTCAAAAGCCTATGAACTAAACCAAGATAAATGCTAACAAATGCACCAATCAGAAAGTTTACAATCAGATTACCAATCTCCAAACATCAATAACTGTGTATTGCAGAAGAGGGATAATGAGTAGAAGACAGGGAAAGATTCCAGCTAGACTGCATTCTTTAACCTTTAAAGAACACTTTAGTTCTAATGCCACAGCATGCTCTGAAGAGTACTGTACAAAGCTCCAAAACTTCCTATAACTGAGGGGCCTTAGACAAGTTATTTCAGGGCTTCAATTCCCTTTTCTGAAAAATGGGTATAACAGTACCTACTCGTAAGATGTCATAAGAATGAGATAATGCATACAGAGCACTTAACACAGTGTTAGGCACGATGTAAAAACCACTATTGTCCACAACACAGTCCCTACCCACGTAAGCAAGTAACCAGAAATGAAACAGTCTAACCATGTCCAGAAAAATCAGAAGAGATTGTTCAGAAAACACATTTACAGTGGCCTTTGGGCAATGGGTAATTCTGACCCCTGCAGGGTTATGTAATAAGATAGCAGAAAAATAGGGTGACTTGGGCTGTCTTCGCTTCGCTGGCGCCAGACCTTCACACATTGTCCAGCACACAGGCGCTCAGAAACTGACTGTCTGGTAAAGGAGGCCTCAGGCCTTTCTGAAACTCCGAGGCGAGAGACTTACCCCAAGGCCAGCTTCCCCCGGCTCCTCAGGTCCTGTATACATAATGTACCTGCAACAACAACACAAGCCGTCAACTCAGACCCCACCTCCTCTCCCGTCTGGAGGTTTACCACTAAGAAATCCTTACCCAACCGTCCCAGCACTGCCGCCGCCATCTTTCCCCTTCCCCTACGGAAGCCCCTGAGTTCAAATAGCGTCAGGGCAACACGCATGCGCAATACTCCAGGTTTCCTCCAGGCGGAGAGACCTGGCCTTGTTTACTTCCGCGGAGTTGTCATAGAGACGGCGAACACGCTCCAGTCGCTCGAGGTGTGGTCAGACCAGCCTTGCTTGGGAATGAATGACTTAATAAAGGCTAAAAACTGGTGTACTTTCGGAAATTCACCTGGGTCCAGAAAAATTGTGAAGCCTTACCTCACAAATGGTCTGAAAGGCGTGGGGAACACAGTGCATGAACAAGCAGCCTAACCCTGGGGGCCTCAGTTTTCTTGCCAGAAATAACTACCTCTAAGGCATAAGTTTGTTGTAAAGATCACGTCAGGTCGTGTGAAACCTCTTTTAAAGAACGAATGGTTCAAATATGAGGTATGATGTCCTAATCCCTACTAATCCCCTGGTTGACTTCCAAGAGATTAACCAAGAGAGTTAATATTCGTCAGGCACTGGCAACCATATATATCCAGCAGGCATTTCACTAAGTCTCGTTTATTCCTCACAGCAATCCAACAAGGCATGGATTATCATTTGGTTAAAGTCTCTTAGCTAACAACTAGCAAACCAGTGGTCATTCCAGGGCTGGGTGCCTCCAAACTTGGTGCCCTGGACGCATCTAAATATACGTTTGACCTCTCTATATTGAGAATAGATATTTTATGTTTCTATGTGCCACATAGGCAGGCGTGCCAGATACCCAATACAAACAAGCAATACAGGGGTAGTGCAGAATCTGAGCATTTTAGCATGTTGAAAGTTGGAAGGAAAATTCTATTCTTTTTCTTCCACAGCACTTACCACATATTATTCCCTTTACAAGCTGGCTCTTAAGCAAGCAAATCAAAAGTCACTCCACTTGCTTCTCTTTAATCTTTGGGTACCCAGTACCCAGAGCCAAAATTTCCGCCCAGTTGCAGAAACTGTTCCTTTCCTTTTTGATTCCAGATTAGTAGTTTTATCTTTTGTTAATTGGCTTCTTGTATATATCTTTCAATCGTCTCCACAACTAGCAAAGTGCCCTGACACATAATGTTCAAAAATAATTCCAGCACTCTGGCAGGCTGAGGTGGGGGAGGGGGCTGGGGCAAAAACTCTCAAATGCCCCCATCGGTAAAATAGGAGACTTGGAATTTGAAGATTGAAAACTGTCAGTCTGCGAACAATATAGCTGCAGAAAAGTTGTATTTGGTCAGCATTTTCTTAACCCAATGCAATGCCTTTAGATGAAGAATGTACTCTACTGACTGCCTGACTACCACAGGCCCTACCACTCTTCTTTTACATAGACCGCTTCTAGTTCATTCATTCTAGTCCAGTGCCTCAATGTAATTAAGTTTCCAATCACTGATCAGATGATCTCTAAAATTTAAGTAGCTACCATGAACATTGTTTATACTTTTCTACTAGTTTTCATAGTCATTTCCCAATACAAAGTCTGGAATGGGGATTCATAAAATTATATAATAATTTCAGAAATGCGAAGACTCTTAGAGCTTATCCAGCAAAATCCAATATTCTACATCATGACACAGATTAAAAGACTAACCCCAAAATGCTTAAGTTTCTTGTTCTAGCTCCCTAGTACAAGTTAATGCAAGACAATCAAATCAACAAACATTACCAAATATTTACTTGTGTAAGAATCTATGCTGGAACTACAAAAAGGAACAAAAACTGTCTCCAACTCTCCAAGATACACATGCTAGTAAAGGCACAGACACATATACATGAAGCCATTATGTTACAGAAGACACACATGCTAAAAGAAAGAAAAATTAGTTCTTTCTGTTTAGAGAGATCTGAGAAAACTTCCTGAAAGGGAAAATCTGAGCAAGGGTTTGAATAATAGGCAGGATATATCTCAGCTTAAAAGAAACAAACCTTCTCTAGGTACCACTACAAAACTCCCTAAATGAGTTGCCTAAATTACCCATCTCCAATTCCAATGCTCCGGTTCACCCTTAACCCTCTGCAATCAGACTTGTGCCTGCATTACTCTACCAAAATTACTTTATCAAGGTCACTGAAGGCATCTGTGTTGCAAGATCCAATGGTTAATTCTCAATCCTCATCCTAAGAGTGACATAAGTATCTCTGGTCACTTGCACTTCCTTGAGACACTTTCTTTACTTGGGTTTCAGGACACTTAGGGTTTTCTTCTCAACTTTCTGCCCACAGTCTCCTCTGTTGTTTCCCCATGTCCCTCCCTGATCTGTAAATGTTGGCTGTCTTAGAATCAATCTTTGGACTCTTCTGCTTTCTATCTACACTCACTCCCATGGTCAACCAGTTTCACATCTTTAAATACTATCATGCACCGATGACTCCCAAATTTACTTCCCTTCCCTGAGCAACAAACTCATATACCCAATTGCCTACTCATATCTCCACCTGCAAGCTTACACATCTCAGACCTAACAATCCCCAAACTGAGCTCCTGATGTTCTCCCCAAAACCTGCTCCTCTGGAAGTCTGCATATCTCAGTAAATGGTAACTCCATCCTTCCAGTTAGGATGGTCTATGAGTTAGACTTCAACCAGACACAAATTCTAATCAAAAGAACTGGCTTGTGAGGGCTTTGAAAGAAAGAAACTATCACATAAGAGACTGTCTAAATGAATATAAGTATCATGGAATTGAAAATGTCCATCTATAAGATCTTGTTTTGTGTATGATTGTTTTAGGGTTTATTCTCAAGCTACAAATAATGGTCAATTTTTCTTTTTTCAAAAATAAATTCAGCATATACTTGATTTCTATTTGAATCCTTTCAATCAAAATATTAAAATAAAAGACCTCTAAATTATACCACCCATATTGATTGTGCATTGTGGTTCCTGGAGACTGCATTCACTTTTAAGAAACATATTCTGAAATGTTTAAGAGTTAAGTACCATAACGTGTGCAACTCACTTTCAAAATGGCTCAGGAAAAAAAAAAGCACATATATTTATTTATAAAGACCATTAAAGCCATGTTAACTACTGGTGGATGCAGCTGAAGGATAGTTTAATATCCCTTCAACTTTCCTGTAGGGTTGACATTTTTCCAAATAAATTAAGGGAAATATTATTTCAACCATTAATGCAAGGGCTACTGCTCAACATGCTTTTCAACATACATTACATTGCTAATCATTTTGTATACTCATTGCAAAACAAATATTACAGTATCTCATGTGTCACAAACAGATGCTTATGCTTAGATATATCCCAGTGCAGAGATTCCTAGACTAAAGATTATGAAATTACAAGCAAAGTTGTAAATGTAAGATAAATTTTTCTGAGAAAATGTTTTGTGGCTTTCCTCATACTCTCAAACGAGGTCTGTGACAAATTTGAGAACCATTGTCCTAACAGGTAAGGATAGAAAACCCCTCAGACCACAAGGTAAAATTTAAATCCCTCAGACTACAAGGTAAAATTTAAATCCCTCAGACCACAAGGTAAAATTTAAATCCCTCAGACCACAGGTAAAATTTAAATCCCTCAGACCACAAGGTAAAATTTAAATAAGAGGGTACAAAAAACAATGTTGTCAAATCTTGGGGGTCATGGCAATCAGGACACTAAAAGTACAGATGAATGAAAACCAGAGATAATTTCTACCCTTTACTTTGGAGAAATCTTTTCAAAGTGACTTGACTAAATAGAAAAGTAGACTAACTTATATTTCAGTTTCTTCTTGCCAACTGTTCTATAAAAGTAAAGCTGACAGATGAGAGACATGCAATCTCATCTAAGAGTGCAGAGTGGCTACTGATTGCTTCCAGCATAAAAATCAGATTCCTTTAAAATAATTTCATGGTGATATCACCCCATCACCTCCACAGTACCAGGCACTATAATAGACATTTTACATATTAGTCTCTTAATTCTCACCACCACTCTCTCTTTGTTGAAATGAGAAAACTAAGCCTCAGAGAAGTTAAGCAAATTGCCCAAGGCCACAACATTTTGTCCCTGGCAAAGACCTGGAACCCAGCTCCTGCAGCCTAGTGTTTATTCTAATATATTACATTGCTATCATCATTTTTCGGCCAAACAGCTGATTCAAGACATTTCCAAATTGGTTTTTCTTGTGGAAAATTTCAACCTATGTACAGCTCAGTCAGTAGTACCTTCACTAGTACACTAGCCCTTCTATTTCTAAACCACCAAAATATACTCTTTCACTCTTTAAATTTAAATTTTAAAAATCACCTGTTCCACAAAGACTCCCTTGATAAATCCCTTTTGGGCCTGTCACTCCATCACTCCCATGTTGACGCAGCACTATCTAAAGCCAGAGAATATTTTGTTTAGATCCTCACGTTGCCATTTATTAACTATATAACCTTCAGTAAGTCACAAAAACTCTCAAATGCCCCCATCGGTAAAATAGGAGACTTGGAATTTGAAGATTGAAAACTGTCAGTCTGCGAACAAATATAGCCTGCAGAAAAGTTGTATTTGGTCAGCATTTTTCTTAACCCAATGCAATGCCTTTAGATGAAGAATGTACTCTACTGACTGCCTGACTACCACAGGCCCTACCACTCTTTCATTTTACATAGACCGCTTCTAGTTCATTCATTTCTAGTCCAGTGCCTCAATGTAATTAAGTTTCCAATCACTGGATCAGATGATCTCTAAAATTTTAGGTAGCTACCATGAACATTGTTTATACTTTTCTACTTAGTTTTCATAGTCATTTCCCCAATACAAAGTCTGGAATGGGGATTCATAAAATTATATAATAATTTCAGAAATGCGAAGACTCTTAGAGCTTATCCAGCAAAATCCAATATTCTTACATCATGACACAGATTAAAAGACTAACCCCAAAATGCTTAAGTTTCTTGTTCTAGCTCCCTAGTACAAGTTAATGCAAGACAATTCAAATCAACAAACATTACCAAAATATTTACTTTGTGTAAGACTCTATGCTGGAACTACAAAAAGGAACAAAAACTGTCTCCAACTCTCCAAGATACACATGCTAGTAAAGGGCACAGACACATATACATGAAGCCATTATGTTACAGAAGACACAGATGCTAAAAGGAAAGAAAAATTAGTTTCTTTCTGTTTTAGAGAGATCTGAGAAAACTTCCTGAAAGGGAAAATCTGAGCAGGGGTTTGAATAATAGGCAGGACTGCTGTTATAGACAGGAAGTGCGTGCACTGCAGGAAAAGACAAGAAGCAGGTAAATGCACAGCACATTCAGAAAAAGTAA